AATGGAGTGCAAGCCCGTACTGCCTATCCTCTAGAACGTCACTGCCAAGGGCAGGTGCACCCCCGACGGACAGAGGACGGGCAGGGTGTGAGACCAGAGCGGTAGCGTAGTCAAGGCGGCGGGTAGAGGCGAAGTCAGCGACAGTAGCGGCAAGCGGGTCAAGACGAGAGACAGGAACAGACGGGTCAATAACAAGAGAGGCAAGAACCCGAGGGACATGGGGACAAGCGGCACGAAGGTAGTCAGACAGCGGGGAAGGTGCGACAACAAGCGACGTGGGAGGAGGCAGCGGGAGGAGGGGAGGATGAGACGAGTGGGAATGGAGCAACATAGGGTGGGAGCGCAGGACAGGAGAGACGGGACGAGCACGTGAGGGACGGCGAGACCAGACGTGGGACGGAGGTGTAGGGTGAGGAGACAGTGGAGGGGACACAAGAGAGGAACGCGGAGGGAGTTGAGCCGGAGACGAGTCCGGCGGCGGGAACACATGGCCGTAGACAGGAAGGTGAGAAGGTGGTGGGGGAGACACCGGCGAGCAGTCAGGGGAGGGAAGGCCGAGCAGGCGAAGAGCGGAGACCGACGGCGACGGCTACGTCGGCTGCTGCGGCGACTGGAGCTCGACTCGCGAACCGGCAAGGGCACGACTACTACCGGGAGAACACTCAACGGCAGCACCCCCTGAACCAGCACCCTCAGAGCAAGAACCCCCTCCAGCACCAGCGGCACCCCCAGTCCCGTCGGGACAGACCACGCAAGGAGCCGCAGGACGAACACCTTCCTCAACGCCAGCACCCCCAGAGGCCAAGAGCAGCAGCGGCGGCGGCGACTGCGACAGGGGAGGCGGAGACACTGGGGACAGGGGACGCGGCAAGGACGGGCCGGTGGGACCACCAGAGTCAGCAGAATCCTCAACGGGGACAACCGATGGGAGGGGAGTGACATGAGAGACACCAGATGGGGCAGGGCGAAGTGGGAGGGGAGGAGGGGCTACCGGGGAAGAGGGAGCAAGGAACAGGGGGGGGGGAAACCGGGAGACCTCGGTGAGGGAAGCGACGGTAGAAGGAGACAGACTCATCAAAGGTGACGTCACGAGAGTGTAGGAAGAGGTGAGACTGCGGGTGGTAGAAGAGCCAGTCAGATGAGTCCAGGGGGAAATCGAGGAAGACACAGGGGACAGTGTGGGCAGTGAGCTTGTCCGTGCAAGAGGCACGAACGTGAGCAAGGCAACCCCAGACGTGGAACGCACACGCGTCACCGGGGGACCCGGTCCAAAGGAGGGTCGGCAAAACCAGCGGCCGCTGGGAGCGGGGCCACAAGTTAAGCGGGTGAGCAGCGTAGCGAACAGTGAATGGCCACAGAAAATGGGGGGCATAGGCATGAATCATGGAGGTGCGAGCAACGTCCATGACCAAGCCGATGCGGCGCTCAGCAACCCCATTCTGCTGTGGCGAGTCCGGCAAGGTGTACGACTGGGTGATGCCCTCCGCACGACAGAACTGTCCAAGCCGACCAGAGGCGAACTCGCCGCCACGGTCAAAGTGGAGACACAACACGGGGAGACCGCGGTGAAGACGCGCAGCCACAACCCACGGGAGAAGAACGTCGGGCACGTCGGCCTTCCACTTCAGGGGAAACACTGTGGTGTAGCGCGTGTAGTCGTCGAAGAGCACAAGGAAGTAGCGCTCACTGTGCGGTCTGGGGACGGGGGCTGGGCCCTAAACGTCCAGGTGTAGGGTCTGAAGGGGAGCAGTAGCAGGGTGAAACGAGGAGGAGTGAGGGGCACGGCGGAGTCGACCCTTGACGCAAGGCGTGCACAGTGGCACAATCGAAGGGGGAAAGTGCGGGGAGTGACGCGGGGAGGCCGAAGACAAGACCATACTGAGACATGTGACGCAGACGCAGGAGAGCAGGGTGACCTAAGCAGTGGTGCCACAAAATGGACATGTGAGTGAGGGACCGACATGAGCAAGCTACAGCGACCTGGGAGGACACACCAGCCGGGGGGGAAGCGGTGTCGAGGGTAAACAGACCGGACACCAGGTCCTGAGGGAACGTCGCAAGGGGGGAACCTGAGACACCCTTGGTACAGACATTGAACCGCTCGTGCCCAGGGAACGTAGTGGTGACGCCAAGGTCCTGAAGACAACCGACACCAACCAGGTTCCTGGAGAACAAGGAAACGTGGAGGCATGTAAGAGAGCCCGAGGGAACGGCTGGACAGGGAAGGGAAGTGGAGCTGCGAGCGACGACAAGACCCGCAGAGGGGTCAGCGAGAGCGACAACAGCAGGCGCAGCAAGCGGTGTGAGCGAGGAGCGGTCGCGGAAGAAACAGGCAGAAGCACCGGAGTCGAGAGTGAAGGACAGCGAGGCAGTAGCGGAGGCCGAGAACGGAGCTGGTGCAGGAACTAGGCAAGGCAAACTAGGCAGTCCTATGCGTGACGCAGCAGGGGAGGCTGAGCTACACAAGGGTGCTACACCTAAACTAGAGTACACAGGGTAATAAGATCCAGCAACACTAGAAGCGTCAGCATACAAGGCATGCAAAGCAGCACCTATCTGATCCATAGCTAACTCAAAGATCGGCACGCCCTAACGAAGCAGGCTGTGCCAGTCGGGGAGGTCCGGGGCCGGGCCAAAGCGACGACGAAAGAGATCGTCGAGGCGGCGGAAACAGCGGGTGGTCAGGTGCGGGCGGCGGCACAGAGTGCCGCGGAGAGGCTCGGTCTGAAGCTGGTACTGGTAGGTCACACCAACGGAGCTGCCGGTAGACGCCAAGCTGCGTAGGCCGCCATCGCGGCCACCACCGACAGAAGTGCCAGGCCAACCCGGCGGGAGACGAGCCCACGGCGGGGGCTGGGACAGCTGCTGCGACGACTGCGACTGCTGCTGCGGCCGATCCTGCTGCTGTGGCGACGGCGGCTGCTCCTGACTAGCTGCGGCAGTCCCCTCAGTAGAACCACTATCTCCGGCACCACCACCACCACCACTAGCTCCACCACCATGCCCTCCCTGGCGGCCACGACCGGCGCGGAGCGGGCGCTGCTGCGGGTGTGCCGCAGCTGTAGTCTCGGTCAGAGGGGTCGCAGTGGCGACCGCAACTGAGACGTCAGTAAACGTGCACTGGGAGGGGGCACAGCCGTGAAAGATAGAGACTGCCGGCGCACCACTCGACTGAGCGATAGTGCGCTGGCGAGTCTCGATCTCTGTCAGGGCGGTGACAAAGGCTGTCAGGGTGAGATGACCCGGGTGCTGGCTAAGGATGTGGTCGCGTGCACTAGCAAGGCGGTCAGGTAGGCGCATAGCGATAAAGTAGAGGGTCATGCAGAAGGGGGGAGGAAGCGCAGTGAGCTGGGCAGCAGTGCTAGCAGTGCGGTAGTGAGATTCTAGGGCGCGCAGGTGAGTGGCAAGGTCAGCAACTGTAGGGAAGGAAGCAAGGTCTGGGAAAAGCATAGGGAAGAGCAGGCGGCCTGCAGTAGCGGAGGCAGGTGTGGAATAGCGAGCAACGACACCATCTAAGTAAGCTCTGGCTGTATCAACTGTAGAGAAACGCGAACGCTCAGACACAGGGAGGGCGTGACTGATAGCGACCTGAGCAAATGCATCCCGAGAGTCCCAGATGGCACAGGCAAGTGTAGCAGCAGAGAAAGCCTCACGCTCAGCAAAGGTGGGGTTAGGAGGGAGGGGAGCAGGCGCAGGGGGGCGGGGGAGCAAGCCATCAGCATGGACAACCAAGGAGTGCCCATCCTGGTGCTGACCTGTGAGTTGACGGCGGAGATCGGACAGCCAGGCGGCGAAGTCAACCGTGTGGCCCTCCGCGTCCAGGCGGAGTACGAAGTCAGCCATCGTGCAGGGTCAGCGACACAGGGACACAGCGGTACAGCTCCACAGGACACAGCAGCACAGCTCCAGGAGGACGACGGCAAGACGCTCCAGCGCGGGCAAGCAGAAGACACGGGGCCGAAGACTCGAGGAACCGTGTCAAGCAGACGACACGGGGCTGCAGGAGCCGGGCAGGCACTGGGAGCTGCGGGCCGCAGGAGACGGGCGGGCGTTTCGGGGCCAGGCCAGAGCTAGGAGGAGCTGGGCGGGCGCTAGGAGAGGCCGGGCGGGCACTAGGAGGGGCCGGGCGGGCGCTAGGAGGGGCCGGGCGGGCGCAACAGGCCGGGCGAGCGCTAGGAGGGGCCTGGCGGGCTTTAGGAGGGGCCGGGCGGGCGCAACAGGCCGGGCGAGCGCTAGGAGGGGCTGGGCGGGCGCTAGGAGGGGCGGGGCAGGAGCTAGGAGGGGCTGGGCGCGCGCAAGGAGGGGCCGGGCGGGCGCGAAAAGGGGGCGGGCGGGCGTTGTGGTACGGGCGGGCGCAACGGGCCGGGCGGGCGCTGGGAGGGGCCGAGCGGGCGCTAAGAGGGGCCGGGCGGGCGCTGTGGGACGGGCGGGCGCAACGGGCCGGGCGGGCGCCAGGAGGGGCCGGGCGGGCGCTAGGAGGGGGGGCCGGGCGGGCGCTAGGAGGGGGGCCAGGCGGCCGCTAGGGGCCAGGGTGGCACGGAGGGGCCAGGCGGGCGCTAAGGGGCCAGGCGGGCGCGACTGGGCCAGGAGGGTGCGACGGGCCGGGCGGGCGCTAGGAGGGGCTGGGCGAGTGTGGAGGGGCCGGGCGAGGCACGGAGGGGCCAGGCGGGCGCGGAGGGGCCAGGCGGGCGCGACGGGGCGAGCGGGCGGGTGCTACGGGCCGGGCGGGGGGCGACGGGCGGGGCGAGTGCTAAGGGCCGGGCGGGAGCGACGGGCCGGACGGGCGCTAAGGGGCGGGCGGGCGCTACAGGCCGAGCGGGCGCTAAGGGCCGGTCGGGCGCTAGGGCTAGGTCGGGGGCGATAGGCTAGGGCAGGGGCGGAGGCGGGTAGGTGGGCCTAACCTACTCGTGATACCATGTTAGAATGCAAGAATAACTAGAATGGGAGAGTACAAGGTAACATAACCTAGAAGCTGTACCCTCTAAGACACAAACCTATACAGTCTATACCAACATAACAATATATGTTTGACATAAATAACAGCTGAAAAATTAGGACATGCCTTCTACCAAATCCTGTGCAATCAGGGCTGGTGCCAGCAACAATCCTGTTTTTTTCCTGAATCAGGAAAATCTTCCTGCAATCTAGGGTCCTCAGGATAGCACATTTGGGACCGCGATTTGAATTTCGTGGCAGAGCTGCGTGGCAAGGCAACCTCGTTAGAGCAGCGTACGCCTTACTGACTAAAACCCGTGATAAGGAAATACCATTTCCTTACAGTAGGTACGGTATGATGTATTTGTGTAACACAACACTGCATATGTACACTAACGTGTACTTATTACCACACTCCATAATTAAGAGCAGCATAGCCCTTATTCATGCGGCCATTTGTCATCCTCAACCCATTGATCAGCCTGTTCCAATTGGACTTGAGGGGACCCAAAAAGTAATCGCACTCCGACGCTATAAGGAGGTTGGCGAAGCTCACCCCTACCAGCTGCTCTACGCCCGCGTCCTGCTCATAAGCCACCATGGCCTCAGCTCCTGTCTGCCGCTTGTTGCGCGTGTAGAAGAAGGTCCAGTCCTTGTATTCTCGTGACTGCTGGATGACGGACTGCAGAGATGGTCAACAGGGATGAGGGGGGAGAGGATGAGTCAAAGGACAGAAACGAGTCACCCCACTCACACAGTCCCCCATCTCTGTCCCTTCCTCCCATTGCCCTCTCTCCTGCTCACCTCCATTTCCGTGCTGAGCCACGCGTATTGCAGGTCGGGCGTGCGCAGGCGGAAGCGGTTGGCCACAAACATGTAGGAGGCGAAGGAGGAGAGCTGCATCTCAATGGCCTTGTCGCCCTGCCGCACATGCACACTCACCACCGGCCGCAGCATGTACACCTCCCCCCCCACGCCCTCATATGCCGAGTCTACCACGCCTTGCGGGGCGAAGGTGAGAGAGGAGGAGGAGAAGGAAGAGGAGGCAGAGGAGGAGGTGTAAGTGGAGGAGGAGGGATCGAGCTGACTAGCCACATCTGGAGAGACGTGGGTTTCAGATGTGCAGCCATCGAAGCCTAGAGCCGGCCATGACTTGGTCTCGAGAGAGGTCTTGGAGGAGAAGGAGAGGGCGGCCAGCACTGCTGCTTCGGACGATGTGTTGATGGCAAGGTTGTCGGGGTTGAGGGTGTCGGTGAGAGAGGGAGAAGAGGAGGAGGGGGAGAGGGAGAGGAGGGTGGAGATGATGTCTTGTTGCTGCGAGAGGGAGTTCACGAGGTGCGCGGCCACTCGCAAGCCGTAGGCCTCGTGGCGGGCGCGGTTGGTGAGGTGGCAGAGGTAGGGGGAGGGCCAGCGCAGCATGAAGCGGAAGGACTGGGCCCGCCACCAAAGCACCTGCATGCCGGGTGAATGCAGGATGGGAGGAGTGAAACAGGAAAGGGGAGAGACTAGGCGATTGGTGAGGTGGCAGAGGTAGGGGGAGGGCCCTGCAGCATTAAGCGGAGGGAATGGGCGTGCATCTAGTGCACGTGGAGACGTGGGAGTGAATCGATGCGGGAGGAGAGGGGAGAGACGTTGGTGAGGCGGCAGAGGTACGCAGAGGGCCATCGCAGCATGGGTCGGAACGAGGCCTAGTGAAGGGGCAGCAGGGATTGACAACGGCTGAGGATTGATCACCTCCAGGATTCGATGACTTGTTATGGCTTTGCCTCATCTCTTCACCTCTCCTCCTCTCACCAAAGAGCTGCAAGGGGGTTCACCTCAGGGGGCGTTCGCCTTCCCTCTAGATCCCCTATTTCACCTCTAGTGTCACCGCGCCTCCAGGGCTTAGGTGATTGTTGAGTCGACTAAAAAACCATCAGGGTTTCCTCACCTTAAGGTTGCGTCCTTTTAGGCGGCTAAAAATCGACTTACCTCCAGGTTCGTAGGCACCTCCACTCGAACCTTCCCCATGATCTCCATATCCCCCGTGCTCTCTAGGGCTGCCGTGCCCCACCGCCTGGTGATGAAACGGGAAAGGGTTGTGAAAGGGAAGCACAGAGAGCATGAGCGAAAGGGATCTGAAGCAAACCCATCCACTCCAACCCTCCCCATGACCTAGGTGATTTTGTAGGTGATTTTTTATAATTCTAAAAAATCATCTACAACAATCAGGAACCCCATCCACTCGCCCCCATCCACTCGAACCCTCCCCCATGACCTCCATGTTCCCAGTTCTCTCCAGAGCCGCTATGCCCTATCGCCTGTGAGACGGTATGGGAGAGGCAGGAGGAAGGGACAGGGGCAGGAGGCAGCAAAGGGGTGAGCGCACATAGTTGGGCCTTCCCCTTCATCTCACCGTCCCCACTGCTCTCCCCTTCATCTCCCCGTCCCCACTGCTCTCCCCTTCATCTCACCGCCCCCACTGCTCTCCCCTTCATCTCACCGCCCCCACTGCTCTCCCCTTCATCTCACCGTCCCCACTGCTCTCCCCTTCATCTCACCGCCCCCACTGCTCTCACCTTCATCTCACCGCCCCCACTGCTCTCACCTTCATCTCACCGCCCCCACTGCTCTCACCTTCATCTCACCGTCCCCACTGCTCTCACCTTCATCTCACCGTCCCCACTGCTCTCCCCTTCATCTCACCGCCCCCACTGCTCTCACCTGAGCGCGTGGCGTGCCGTGAGCCGGGGCTCCTGGCTCCTTGGTGCTCCCAGCTGCGACACTCACCCCACCCACGCTCACCCCACCCACGCTCACCCCACCCACGCTCACCCAACCCGCGCTCACCCCGCCCGCGCTCACCCCGCCCACCCTCAACCCCCACCTGCACTGTGTTGCATCGAGGCGGGAAACACTCTCTCACCCAGCAGCATGTGCCATGCCGTGAACACAGAACTCACCCCCCACCTGAGCTGTGTTGCGTCGGAAACACTCCCTCACCGTGGCATGAGCCGGGAACTCACCTGCCCATGTTCACACCTCCTCACACCTCCTCGCACCTCCTCGCACCTCCTCACACCTCCTCACACCTCCTCGCACCTCCTCACACCTCCTCGCACCTCCTCACACCTCCTCGCACCTCCTCACACCTCCTCGCACCTCGTCTCTCTTTCTCACCTGGCAGCATGTGCCGTGATGTGAGGAGGGAACGTTGACTCCGTGAACACCACGATCTGGCTGCCAGACGCCATGAGCCTGCCCATCTCCTCCGCACCCATGCCCTTGGGACTCGCACCCGCCACGCTCACCCCGCCCACGCTCAGCTCCTGTATTCCCCTGCCCCCTCCTGCTGCTGCTGCTGCGGCCTGACCAGGTGCCGCTGCTGACACGGATGAGATGGCTGCCACTGCTGCCTCCTCGCATGCTCGAGAGACGAGCGGGAAGAAGTAGCAGGAGAAGGAGCCCGTGTGCCGGCCTGGTGTGGTTTGAATGGATTCAAGAGAGGGAGGTGTGGGGGGAAGGGCAAAGAGAGTGCTCATGAATGATCTCTTTCCAGGCTGCCTCCTCGCATGCTCGAGAGACGAGCGCGGACAAGTAGCGGGAGAAGGAGCCCGTGTGCCGGCCTGTCGAGGTGGTGCGGGGGGGGGAGACGAGGGGGCACGGGTGGTTAGGGAGGGAGACGAGGGGGCACGGGTGGTTAGGGAGGGAGACGAGGGGGCACGGGTGGTTAGGGAGGGAGACGAGGGGGCACGGGTGGTTAGGGAGGGAGACGAGGGGGCACGGGTGGTTAGGGAGGGAGACGAGGGGGCACGGGTGGTTAGGGAGGGAGACGAGGGGGCACGGGTGGTTAGGGAGGGAGACGAGGGGGCACGGGTGGTTAGGGAGGGAGACGAGGGGGCACGGGTGGTTAGGGAGGGAGACGAGGGGGCACGGGTGGTTAGGGAGGGGGAGAGGAGGTGATGGGGAGTGGGGAAAGGGGAAGTGGGGATGAGGGCGCCAATGATTTGCTTCATGAGTAAAGGATCTAGTCGCGGGCACCAATATCGCGGCCATGAGCCACAGCGATATTGAACCTCGCGCTCATCACGGCTACGTCGAGACACGTGGATCTGCGACCCGATGCCGTTCGCGCGACCCATCCTGGTAAGCCGAGGAGTCCCCACCAGTGCAGTTGGAGTGGTTGGCTCGAGTGAAGGACCCAAGCGTTGGGACGAGAATGCAATTCTTTGCAACAGCGAGATTCAACCACGCACTCATCACGCGAGATTCTGTGACCCGATGCCAGCCTGGCAAGCCAAGGAAGGAGTCCGCACCAGTGCAGTGGGAGTGGTTGGCGCGAGAGAAGGACCCGGGAGTGGGCACCAGGATGCGGTCGTGCGCCACGGCCAGGTTGAGCCACGCGCTCATCACGTGGATCTGCGACCCGATGCCGTTCACGCGCCCCGGCCACGGCACCACCAGCAGCCGCTGCCCGCCGCAATCCCCACCAGTGCTGCCGGGTTGCGCGGAAGCAGCGGCGGAGGCGGAGGGGGAGGGCGCGGGGAACTGGTGCAGCCAGAGGTCCGCCTGCGCCTGGCGCGTGGCGGCGAGATTGGCGGCGTCCGACCCGCGCACCTGGCGGGGGGGAGGGGTGGGATGATGGGAAGGGCGGGGGGAGATAGAGGGGGGAAGGATGGGGAAAGGATGCGGGGAGATGGTGGTTTGTGGGGGTGCGGGAGTGGGGGAGAGAGCTGAGGATAGGGAGCGAAGGAGGAGGGGACGAGGGGAGGAAGGGCGCACGCAAGGTTGGACACCAGAGTAGGTGAGAAGAGAACCGTGGGCACTACACGTCTGTCGTTGCACTTGCCATTAGGTCCCTGGCATGAAACAGATCGGTTCAGTGCGGTATTGCATCACACTGACGCGGTCAAGAGCAGGTTTAGCGAAAGGAGCGGGACCATGATTTCCCCGGACTTACCCACGGGGGTTGCGGGTACCGGCACCCGCTAGGCGCGCTGGCCCACGCGGGCGCTTCCCCGTTCGCCCCGCGCGCCTCCGTCTGCCAGCGGAACGCGCTGCGCGCCGAGCAGTCCTCCAGGTGCGGCGCGCGCGGAACGCTGGGCGGAAAGGAGATGCGCGCGGGCGGCTGCGCGGGGTCGGCGAGGCCATAGATCCGCTCCCACGCCTGGCGGGGGAAGAACGGCGGAAGGGAGGGTCATGGAATGGGGAAGGAAGAGGGAGGAAGGGGGAAGGAAGGAGGAATGGGAAGAGGGTGGTAGGGGACAAGGCGCGGTTGATGGAGAGATATTCTATTCGCGACGCACTGCTGGCGATATGCACTGCTGGCGCGATGCACTGCTGGCGAGATGCACTGCTGGCGAGATGCACTGCTGGCGAGATGCACTGCTGGCGCGATGCACTGCTGGCGCGATGCACTGCTGGCGCGATGCACTGCTGGCGCGAAGCCCTGCTGGCGCGATGCCCTGCTGGCGAGATGCGCAAAGCCGTCTATGGACCTCAAATCGACGGCGAGGGGCAAGGGAAACCGTACGCGATATAGCTCCATGGACCGCTCGAATGAAGGCAGCTCCGTGGCGGTCGCCGCGTTGTCGTCTTCCGGCAATTGAATGTAATCTCGCGGGTCCCTCGCCATTCCGCTGCGTGGGCCTCTTAGCGGTGCTGCTTGTATCGCGGATGAGCTTGCCAGCACCAGAAGAACTACTAGCGGAGCCACAATCGCGGAGCGGCTACTACTGAACCGCGCGAGCTTACTGCTGTCACTGCCACGGCGAGTCATCAGTACGCCCTTCAGACTGATCCGGAAGCGATTACGACACGCGCCACGTCGCGGGATCGGCGTCCGAAGACGGAATCTTACTTCGATAGAGGTTTCGGCCTGTCCTTCTAATCGTCTTCTTCGTCTTGTGAGAAATAATGCTAGAGATGAATTTTGAGTCGACTAGGTTCACCTCGTACCCGCGTGCAAATCCACGGAGTCCACGTGGAGCCGCGGAACGACGAAAGGCGGAAAACACTAGTCTAAGGGAACTGTTGGGCTTGGTTAGGGAGAAACGGAATTCACAGCCTGAGTCGATCGAGCGGCTGAGCGCAGTGCGTATATTATAAGTTCGTGGCTGCTTGGATGGAGAATAAAGCCGCGAGCGCGAGCGGAAAAGTCCCAGTAAAACTCGCAAATCGGACACAGGCGACCGACAGCAGAGCGAGAACGGCCCGGTTACGTATCTAAAAGTGGCCATGATTGCGGTGAGGGTGGCTCCGTACAAAAGTCTCAATGGGGATGGTGAATATGGGCGCAGTTTGGTCCAACGATTAGGTGCTGGCAGGCACGCAGGCAGCCGGGTCGCAGGGGGCTGATCAGAGAAGTGTGGCGTGGCGCCAGTTTTCGGGAGTGTGGCGGGTGGGTCCACTGGGCTGGCTTCACTGCAGGGGAAGGGTAAGTTGGCTGGGTAGCCTTGAGCTTATTAGCAGGCCCCGATAGCTTTGTAACGCGCATAAGAGAACCTAACTGCTTGCTGCATTATAAGACTTACTTTCTAAAATCAACCAATATAGCTAATTATTCAATGGAGAACTCGAGAAGAGATCTGAATTCATTTTAAACCTTGAAATTTATTTTTATTCGGGCTTCATAAATTTCAGGTATCATGCAATATAATGTAGCAATCGAAGTACCAGTATATCAAACCAAAGAGCATGCATTTCTTGATTTGCAAAAGGGTCACCGTGAAGCCTTGTATTGATGCATGGCCACATAACGAGTCTGCCACCTACGACGCGTCAGCTAGTCATCATCACCAGCGCGCCATTAGCTCAGCTCGTCTCTTCCCCTTGGCGCTCGCGTGCAGCTGAAGCTTCCACAGAAGCTGCCGTCAGAGCAGAAAGTCTCTCGATGTAGCTCTCGGGATTCCACTTCTCACTTGGCCATTCTTGTCTCCCCACGCTCGACTCGGAGCCGTCAGGCATGCCGTCAGCCATGCCGACAGCCATGTCGGAAAATCTGCCTCGTCGGAACTCACATCCTCAGACGATCATGGCTCTTGTCGCTTCGCTCCTCGCGCTGTCGCTCGCCGTGCCGCAGACAGTCGCCGAGTCCTCTTTTAGTTCGCAGAAGAGGTAACGAGAATTGGTTCGCGTTTTGGGAATAGTTTTCCGTGCCTAGAGTGGAGGGGATGCCTAAGGTGGGGGGAGTGCCTAGTATGTATCTGGGGAGGACGGGAGGAGTATACCGCGAGTGGTTGGGGGAAGAATACCGGGTGGGGGAGGAAGGGGGGGGAGTTGGAGTGCTGAGGGTACAGAGTCGGTCAGGTATGGGTGTGATTCACTGTGTGCTGTGCTTAGAATGGCGTGTGAGGGCGTGTGAGGGTGGGGCAGGTGTGGGGAGGTGTGAGGAGGGAGGAGTGCTGAGGGTACAAAAATGGTCGTGGATAGCGTATGATTCACTGCGTGCTGTGCTTATATTTGTGAGCTGATGAAGGTCTAGCCGGAGCTCCCCTTGCAAAGTCCGAAACATGGTGTGAGTGAGAAGTGTGTGCGTATGTGGTGTGTACGAAGTGTGACTTTAGCGAGGATGGAGTGTACAGAACGAAAGGTGGCAGGAGTATGATATGCCTCTGTGCCGGTCAGTAAGACAAGAAAGAAAGAATATAAAAAACCATTACATCCGATCCGACCACCATCCCAGGCAAGGCTTTGCCATGACATCATCTTCCCACCATCCCCGCCTGTCCCATGCCTTTCCATGCCCACACCACGTCATGCCATGCCATGCCATGCCATGCAATGTCTATACCACATCATGCACTGCCCACGTCATATCATGCCATGCCATGCCATGCCCACACCACACCATGCCCCATGCCGCTTCCGACAGGCTCGTTGTCTCAGGCAATGGGGACGAGTGGGGGGAGTCCACAGGCAGCGACAAGCACCACCAACAGCAGCAACACCAGCAGCAGCAGGAGGGGCAGCAGAAGGGGCAGCAGAAGGGGCAGCAGGGCAGCGGAACAGCAGCCGGGGCGGCAGCAGCAACCCTGGAGGCAGGGCCAGGAATCCGCATAGACCCAACTCGAATCACAAGGCTGTCGTGGCAACCCAGGTGGGGAGAGTGAGTGAGGGGGGAGTGGGCTGGGTTGGTTTTGTTAGCGATTAGCCTGTTTCATAGAACGAGGTTGGCATTTTATTCTTTGAATATGCAAACCTTATCGAAAACTCTTACACTGCGGGATGGTTAACTGATAGATGCTTTAAACGAATCATAGCGCCCGGTTTCTCGTCTGCTACCATTCACCTCACTCACGCCGTACCGTGCCACAATCTGCCGCAAAATGCCGCCCACCCCACGCAGGACCTTCCTGTACTCGGGCTTCCTTTCCCATGAGGAGTGCGACCACCTCGTCAACCTCGTGAGCCTCTTTCCCTGCTCTACGTTCACTTCTCACCGTTCTTTTCTTATTTTTGAGGCGCCTCAAGAATGGAATTCTCACCACTCTTTGCTCATTTTTGAGGCGCCTCAATTTGGAATTCTCACCATTCTGTGCTTATTTTTTAGGTGCCTCAAGAATAGACTTCTCACCGTTCTTTGCTTATTTTGAGGCGCCTCTAAAATGGACTTTGCTTGCACCATTCTTTGCTTCTCCCACGAGGAGTGCGACCACCTCATCAACCCAGTGAGCCTCCCTTTCCCTCCCCTCCCATTCGTTTTCTTCCCGTCTCTCTCTCTCTCATTTCCCTCGTATTCCTCTGTTCCTTACCCTTGCCCCCTCAACACTATAAACGCTGAAGGGAGCAACTTGTAGATAAGATATGGGATGAAGTTTGCCCCCCTTACTCTTCTCAGGTACCAGACAGAGTCACAGGGCCATCTGTCGCTGACAACGCCAGCAGGGGAAGAGCGTGTGGAGTGACATGCGGCGGGTGTAGTTTGAGTCGACTCAAAATCCCCTAGACAGAGTCAAGAGGTCATCTGCTGCAGACAACGACCGCGGGAAGAGCGAGCTGCGTGAGATTTGCAGGGGAACTGGACGAGGGGGGGCTCAGGCACGTTCCTAGTTAGTGGATCTGCAACGCACCCGCCCTCTCCCCTGTCCAGTTCCCAGGCACGGGACTTGGTGCCACGGACCACGGTCGTCAGTGGCAGTGTCAATGAGGTCAATGACACTGGCAGACAATGACACTGGCAGACAATGACACTGGCAGACAATGACACTGGCAGACAATGACACTGGCAGACAATGACTCAGGAAAGAGCGAGCTGAGAGATATGCGCTCGGACTCACTCCCCTCTCCCCTCTCCCCTCTCCCCTCTCCCCTCTCCCCTCTCCCCTCTCCCCTCTCCCCTCTCTAATATGTGATTTCACCCCCGCCCCCCCTTCCTTCTCCCCTTTTCCTCTCAGGACCGTGATCAAGTTACGCGGTCGTCAGTGGCGGGCAACCACAGTGGGAAGAGCGTGCTGTGCTGAGTGACATCTGCACGAGCTCAGTCCCCACCCCATGTGATCACATGTGTTGCATCTCGATTGTGCTCGTAGGCACGGGACAAGGTGACGCGGTCGTCAGTGGCGGACAAGGACTCAGGGAAGAGCGTGCGAACGAGGTCAGGGACGTTCCTAGTCAGTACACATGCAGCCTACCCGCCCTCTCCCCATTCCCCCCAGGCACGAGACAAGGTGACGCGGTCGTCCGTGGCGGACAACAACAGCGGGAAGAGTGTGCTGAGTGAGATCCGCACGAGCTCAGGGACGTTCCTCAACAAGTACCAGGACGAGGTGGTGAAGCGCATCGAGGAGCGCATCGCCGCCTGGACCTTCCTCCCCAAAGGTGCTCTCCCTCCCCAAAGGTAGCTGTCTGTGTCTTCTGAAAGGTGCTCTCCCTCCCCTAAGGTAGCTGTCTGTGTCTTCCCAAAAGGTGCTCTCATCTCAGAAGCACGAGCTCAGGCACCTTCTTGACCAAGTACCAGGATGAGGTGGTGCTGCGCATAGAGGAGCGTATCGCTGCTTGGACCTTCCTCCCCAAAGGTTGTCACATACTCGAGTTGAAGATAGTGCAGAAGAAGTGCAAGTGTGTGCGGTGCCATGCAGCTCGGGCCATACAGCTTGTGACTTGATTGATTCTCCTACCCCTCTCCTCACGTGCCCCTCTCCTCACATGCTCCTATCCTCTCCCCGCATGTGTGCATCAGAGCACGGCGAGGCGATTCAGATCCTCAAGTACGAGATCGGGCAGAAGTACGACGCCCACTACGACTATTTCTTTGACGCGGTCAACACGCAGATGGGTGGTCACAGGGTGGCCACCGTGCTCATGTATCTGACCTCTGTGGACGAAGGGGGCGAGACGGTGTTCCCCAATGCAAAGGTGGGCTTGCGTGCTCCGTGTCTATGACCATAGGAGGAGGGGGCGGGTGGGAGGAGGGGGCAGAAAGTCTCAAGTCAGCATGCAGATGGGCAGCCACCGTGCTCATGTACCTCACGAGCGTGGAGCACACGTGAGCTTACATGTGCTCCCGAGCGGAGGAGAGACTGTCCTTCCCAATGCAGAGGTTGGTAGCACACGTGTGTGCTTGAAGCGTTTAGGATTGGACAGAGGAAGCTGGGGGATGCCAGCACGCAGATGCGCGGGTGACATAGCGACGAGGTGCCTTTTGAGTTGACTCTAAGGTCACATTGAGTCCACTCAGATGTGTGCATGGGGTTTGGAATAGACATAGGAAGCTGGTAGGTGTCAGCACACAGATGGTGGTGGCTACCCTGCTCACGTGCCTGACGGCAGAGAAGGAAGACGTGGGGGAGAGACAGGGTTACCCAGTGCTGGTGACCCTGCTCACTGGTTGTCCAGCTCATTCGGACAGTCCTCATGGGTGACTAAGGCGATACGGGGAAAGGCAGGCCTTACTGATTCAGGGGTGGGGTTGAATGGCAAACTGCCAGGTGCCCTCATGGACCGTTGCTCTCTTTCTAGCTGTGTGCGCATGATAACAGATTCGCCAAGCAAGGCACATGAGCAAACTCCCTCACTCACTTCTTTCGTTTTGGCTCTACCCGTCCCCTCCCCCAGGCGCATCCCCTCCCCCAGGCGCATCCCCTCCCCCAGGCGCATCCCCTCCCCCAGGTGCATCCCCTCCCCCAGGCGCATCCCCTCTCCCAGGCGCATCCCCTCCCCAGGTGCATCCCCTCCCCCAGGCGCATCCCCTCCCCCAGGTGCATCCCCTCCCCCAGGCGCATCCCCTCTCCCAGGCGCATCCCCCCCCCCCCCTCCCCCAGGCGCATCCCCTCCCCCAGGCGCATCCCCTCCCCCAGGCGCATCCCCTCCCCCAGGCGCATCCCCTCCCCCAGGCGCATCCCCTCCCCCAGGCGTCTCCCCTCTCCCTACCCTCTCTCACCTCATACTTAACTGATGCCTCCCGTCTCTCTCCTCTCCCCTCTTCACTGTAACCCCCGCCAGCCTAGAAATTCGGTGAATGAATCTTGCTCTGACGGTGCCCACAGAGGGGTCTCGTCCGGCAGGTGTTTCCCTCCCCGGCCCGCCCACTCGCTCTCTCCACTTCATCTCTCTTCGGCACCTTCTCCCTCCTCCCTCACATCTCCCCTCCTCCCTCACATCTCCCCTCCTCCCTCACATCTCCCCTCCTCCCTCACATCTCCCCTCCTCCCTCACATCTCCCCTCCTCCCTCACATCTCCCCTCCTCCCAGCGTGAATCTGCCATGGATGCCTCTTGGTCTGGCGGCGCACAGGAAGGACTGGCAGTGGCAGTTGACTTTCCCGCCCCCTCCGTGCCTCACACCTGCCTCACCCGTTCTTTCTCTACCCATCCCCTCCCCATCACCCACTCTCCCCATCACCCACTCCCCCCTCCCAGCCCAAGCCTCCTTTGGATGCCTCATTGACTGACTGCGCAAACAGAGGACTGGCAGGTACCTGCGTGAGTGTGTGCATGTGTGTGTGTGTGCATGTGTGTGTGTGTGCATGTGTGTGTGCATGTGTGTGTGTGTGCATGTGTGTGTGCATGTGTGTGTGTGTGCATGTGTGTGTGCATGTGTGTGTGCATGTGTGTGTGCATGTGTGTGTGCATGTGTGTGCGCGGCATGCTTGTGTGTTTCTCTCTCTATTTAAGAAAACGTGTGTGTGTTTTTCAATGCCTGCCGACCTCTCGTCACTGCATGTTTCCTCCCCAGCTCAGTCCCATAGTACGCCCCTTCCCACCTCACAGTTCACAGCCACCTCCTTGCCCTCCACATCTCCCCTCCACCTGCCCTTCGTGTCCGCCTCCAGTCAAGCCCCAGAAGGGTGATGCGCTGCTCTTCTACTCCCCGCACCCGGGCGGCACCATGGACCAGTCATCATTGGGGTGACTTTTGAGTCTGCCCATGTTTCAATGCCCTCTGCTCCCTACCATCTCTCCCCTTTGCCTTCCAGTCAAGCCCCAGAAGGGCGACGCGCTGCTCTTCTACTCCCTGCACCCGGACGGCACGACGGACCAGACATCATTGCATGCCAGCTGTCCTGTGATTCGCGGCGAGAAGTGGTCGGCAACGAAGTGGATCCACGTGCGCTCCTTCGAGGCGCGGCCCCTCGCGCAGGGGTGCGAGGATTTGAACCCGAAATGCGAGGAGTGGGCGGTGCTTGGGGAGTGTAAGAAGAATCCCGCGTATATGCTCGGGGATGGGGCGTACACTGGGAATTGCAGAAAAGCTTGCAAGGCGTGCTGAAAATACTTTTTGGGCCTGCAAGGCAAGCCTTCTGTATTTCATGGGTACAATCTTGCCTTTATCCTCTTCGCTGTGAAAGAATAAGAGGATGAGGGCAAGGCATTTTAGGTGAAATGAGCTAAGATTGGAGGACATTATTGATGAGGAAACGAAGCATGAAAGGGAGGGCCTGGTGCTATGTAGTATGTAGGTTCTGAATTGGGCTCGTAGCGAATATCGAGATTTTCTTGCCAGGAGCCTGTCAGGGCGAGAACGAGCCACCAGTTTCGCGAAAGGCTCTTTCCAGCCAGACCTGACCCTGGGCAGGTCCTGTGCGAATCGCTGGGGCGAAATGAACATAATTGACTGCAAATCAACAGACACCACCTGACCTGACCCCGTGATCCGGTAACCCGCTTACATGCCAACAATTCGCCAGGGTTCGCATCTTTCTAATGGTTGTGTCACGCGTTCCGATTCCTTTGTAGGAGACTGATTACGTTACAACGTTGTGACGCGACGACGTCACCTTGTAACGAACCTAATCTATTCAATTCCAATATCTAACTGTTAGTTTCGCGGCGGCAGGCGGCGCGCATGAGGCTTGTTAGGGTTGCGTGAGAGCGGGGATCATGCTCTGAAGCTCTGAAGCTCGGATCCCTGGATCTAACCATTTACGCTACGTCGTTCGTTTTCTCCGCCCCAGTCTCGTAGAACAAGCCGAACATCAGCCGTCGATCAGGATGATCGACGGCGCAGCGCTACTCCCCGCGCAGGTGTTGCGCAACCTCTCCGACAAGCTCTACGACAAGCGCAAGGCGGCCGCGCTCGAGGTGCGCGGATAGTAGGGGAGGTGTGGGGGAGGGGGAGGACTGGAGGGGAGGTGGCGGGGGTGGGGGGAGGAGATGAGGGAGCGCGGAGGAAAGGGCGGAAATGGACTGAAAAGTCAGGAGGAATGCGTGGAGTCGCTCAGCTGGCAGGCAGAGCGATCCGTGGATACGTATGGCTCTCCCACCGCAACCCCCCCTCCCCCCCTCCCCCTCCCCCACCCTCCCTCCCCCTCCCCCTCCCCCTCCACCTCCCCCTCCCCCCCCGCCCCTCTCCCTCTGCTGCACTTGCGCTCCAGATTGAGACGGCAGTGAAGGCGGCTGTAGCAGAGGGGTACGATGATAGAATCAACGCCATCATTGCGCTGCTGGCCAATGATTACGCCACGTCAGCACAGCCCAACCAGAGAAAGGTGAGTGGAGGAGAGGTTGGAGAAGGAAGAGGTGTGTGCGGAGGGAGAGGAGGGGGGAGGGGGAGGAAGGGGGGGAGGAGGAGAGGGAAGGGAGAGAGGGGAGGGGAGGGAGTGGGGATGCGGAAGAGGGGGGGTGGGGGGAAGGTGACATGCACCATCCTGACAAGAGCATGGGTGAGGGAGTGCGCTGAATAGTGGATTTCTCGTGGGAGATCAGGTAGGAGGCAGGGCGGGGGAAGGGAGCGAGGAAGAGTGAGATTCACTGAGTCGATCACACCAGCAATTATCACATACTGCTGGCTGTCCCCTCCAACGCATTGTTAGATCCTCCCCTCCTGTTAACCTTATCTCAACCAACCCACCCACCCACCCCATTGCCTTCTCCCTTCTTCCCCACCCCCCCTCCCCCGCCTTCCCCCTCCATCCGTCCCACCTGCACCTTTTCTCCAGGGCGGGCTCATTGGTCTGGCTGCTGTGACTGTGGGGCTCGGGCCCGACGCCAGCCAGTATCTAGATGTACGTGGGGGGGGTCTGCAGCATATCACAGAGAGGCTGGATTCCTGGATGATGGGTGTACTGCAGTGGGGGTCCCGCGCACATCTGAAAACATCAAACTCCTCTTCTCACGCATATCTGGGCCAGGGATCGAGTCGGTGACCATCTGAGCGTGTCGTGCCCCGTGTACTTCCATCTGAGCGTGTCGTGCCCCGTGTACTTCCATCTGAGCGTGTCGTGCCCCGTGTACTTCCATCTGAGCGTGTCGTGCCCCGTGTACTTCCATCTGAGCGTGTCGTGCCCCGTGTACTTCCATCTGAGCGTGTCGTGCCCCGTGTACTTCCATCTGAGCGTGTCGTGCCCCGTGTACTTCCATCTGAGCGTGTCGTGCCCCGTGTACTTCCATCTGAGCGTGTCGTGCCCCGTGTACTTCCATCTGAGCGTGTCGTGCCCCGTGTACTTCCATCTGAGCGTGTCGTGCCCCGTGTACTTCCATCTGAGCGTGTCGTGCCCCGTGTACTTCCATCTGAGCGTGTCGTGCCCCGTGTACTTCCATCTGAGCGTGTCGTGCCCCGTGTACTTCCATCTGAGCGTGTCGTGCCCCGTGTACTTCCATCTGAGCGTGTCGTGCCCCGTGTACTTCCATCTGAGCGTGTCGTGCCCCGTGTACTTCCATCTGAGCGTGTCGTGCCCCGTGTACTTCCATCTGAGCGTGTCGTGCCCCGTGTACTTCCATCTGAGCGTGTCGTGCCCCGTGTACTTCCATCTGAGCGTGTCGTGCCCCGTGTACTTCCATCTGAGCGTGTCGTGCCCCGTGTACTTCCATCTGAGCGTGTCGTGCCCCGTGTACTTCCATCTGAGCGTGTCGTGCCCCGTGTACTTCCATCTGAGCGTGTCGTGCCCCGTGTACTTCCATCTGAGCGTGTCGTGCCCCGTGTACTTCCATCTGAGCGTGTCGTGCCCCGTGTACTTCCATCTGAGCGTGTCGTGCCCCGTTTTCGTGTACTTCCATCTGAGCGTGTCGTGCCCCGTGTACTTCCATCTGAGCGTGTCGTGCCCCGTGTACTTCCATCTGAGCGTGTCGTGCCCCGTGTACTTCCATCTGAGCGTGTCGTGCCCCGTGTACTTCCATCTGAGCGTGTCGTGCCCCGTGTACTTCCATCTGAGCGTGTCGTGCCCCGTGTACTTCCATCTGAGCGTGTCGTGCCCCGTGTACTTCCATCTGAGCGTGTCGTGCCCCGTGTACTTCCATCTGAGCGTGTCGTGCCCCGTGTACTTCCATCTGAGCGTGTCGTGCCCCGTGTACTTCCATCTGAGCGTGTCGTGCCCCGTGTACTTCCATCTGAGCGTGTCGTGCCCCGTGTACTTCCATCTGAGCGTGTCGTGCCCCGTGTACTTCCATCTGAGCGTGTCGTGCCCCGTGTACTTCCATCTGAGCGTGTCGTGCCCCGTGTACTTCCATCTGAGCGTGTCGTGCCCCGTGTACTTCCAGTGCCAGGGCGTGCTGCAGCTTGGTGCCGGTCCCGTCCCATCCCGTGGCTGGCGCAGGATGACACCACACCCTACCTACCCACACCCCCTTCAACCATTCACTTCTGTCCCCTGTCTGTCTGTCTCTGCTCCCCATCCTCTGAGCTTCTCCGGCTTAGCAGCTTAACCCATCTCCCATCCTCCTCCTCCTCCTCCTCTCTTCACGTCTTGGCCCCATCCGCCTTGGCCCTCTTGGCCCCATCCGCCTTGGCCCTCTTGGCCCCATCCGCCTTGGCCCTCCTGGCCCCATCCGCCTTGGCCCTCTTGGCCCCATCCGCCTTGGCCCTCTTGGTCCCATCCGCCTTGGCCCTCTTGGCCCCATCCGCCTTGGCCCTCTTGGCCCCATCCGCCGTGGCCCTCTTGTCCCCATCCGCCTTGGCCCTCTTGTCCCCTGCAGCGCCTAGTCCCCCAGGTTCTCAAGTCCTTCTCGCACTCTGACAGCTGTCGCGCATCTCTTGTGCCTCCCCACCCTCTGTCCCCTGCAGCGCATAGTCCCTGAGGTGCTCAAGTCCTTCTCGGACTCGGACAGTCGGGTGCGCTACTATGCGTGCGAGGCACTCTACAACATTGCTAAGGTGCGGCACTCTACAACATTGCTAAGGTGAGGCGCTCTACAACATTGCTAAGGTAAGGTAGGGTACTGTAGACTACTGTGCGCCGGGATGTTCAACTGTGTGCCACTGTATTTGTGAAGCGCTCAAAATCAACACCGACGTGCGTTGCTGCATTGGTGCTACTCGGAGCACTGCTCTGTGCAACATTGCAAAGGTTCCTTTAACACACACTCGAAACATTGCTGACCCAACACACCACTCAGCGCCACAGTGTGAGACACGGCCTCCCATTCCCCCATGTGCCGATGGGCTCAGTCTCTCTCTCTCTCTCTCGCTGTTCTATCCTCCAAAGGCTCCCTCGCTCCTCCGGCATTCTCGTGCCCTCCCTCCAAGATCACCCTTTAGGTGACACGCGGCGAAGTTAACGGTGCCTTCAACGTTGTATGCAACCACTCTGCTTTGCGACAACGCACTGTGCACCTTACCCCTCTCCCTCCAATCGCCAGGTGACACGTGGCGACTTCATAGTGTTCTTCAACGACGTCTTCAACGCCCTCTGCAAGCTCTCTGCTGACCTGGACCCCAACGTGCAGTCCGCCGCCCACTTGCTCGACAGGCTCGTCAAGGTGAGTCAGCAAACGAGCAGTGCTTACCCTCACCAATTCTTACTGCAACTGACGTGGACCCCAACGTACAGTCCGCTGCTCACTTGCTGGATAGGCTGGGGAAGGTGAGTTCACTTGAGGATCAGCATCTCACCCATTGCGGCTGCCCTGGGCCCCAACGTGCAGCTTGCTGCTCACTTGCTGGACAGGCTGGGGAAGGTGAGGTGGCTGGCACCCTCACGCGGCTTTCTCTCTCACCTCATGTCACCATGACTAATCTCTCTCTCACCTCATGTCACCATGACTAATCTCTCTCTCACCTCATGTCACCATGACTAATCTCTCTCTCACCTCATGTCACCATGACTAATTTGGGCCCCAACGTGCAGCAGCCTGCTGCTCACTTGCTTGTGCTCCTTTTAGTAAAGGCCTACACCCTAGACTAGAGCAAACTTCTATCCTCATTCTCTTGTATTCCCGACTCCCATGCGCCACTCTCCTGCCCCCCCCCCTCCGCCTTCGCAGGACATTGTGACAGTCAGCGATCAGTTCAGGTGACTCTCCTGCCCTCTCCCATCCCCACTCGCTCCTCACCTCCGCCCCTCACACCCCGTCATCCCTTGGCCCAACCCCGTGATCTCCCGAACCCCGTACTGTTCATCCCTCTGCCCAACCCCGTGATCTGCCGAGCCCCGTACTGTTCATCCCTCGGCTCATAGCGCGCATGAGTGTTCCCATGCTCGACCCCTTCACTTCCATGCCCGAGCTGTTCCGAACCCCCCCTTGCCCTTACGCGGTACAGAGGAGTTCATTCAGGCATCTCTCTGCTCCGCGCCCATGTGCGTTTGCTCACCTCAACCCCTTCGTGCAGCAGTTCCTAGTCGTCCTGCCTCTATCATGCCTCTAAACCCCGCCTGTTTCTAGTTAGCCTAGGGCATTCTGGACTTCATCTCCTTGCAACCAGCTCACACGAGTGTGCAAACCCTTGTTGCCGCATGCCTATTCCCTTCTCCCTCCCTTTGTGCAGCATAGAGGAATTCATCCCCCTTGTTACGGGCGCACGTGAGCGTGCTCAACCCCTTGGTGTAGCAGTTCCGATCCCAGTCTCCCATGCCCCTAACATGCCCCTCCTCACCGCCTCATCGCAGCATTGAGGAGTTCATCCTTCTGCTCCGCGCGCACATGAGTGTGCTCAACCCCTTCATGCAGCACTTCCTGGTGGGCTGGGCTGGATCACGGGGCCTCACAACTAGCCCTTGTGGCCCATCCGCTACCCCCTATCCCTCGCCCCCAACCAGCATAGAGGAGTTCATCCCTCTGTTGCGGGCGCACATGAGTGTGCTCAACCCCTTCGTGCAGCAGTTCCTGGTGGGCTGGATCACAGTGCTGGACAGTGTACCTGACATAGACATGCTTGGCTTCCTGCCAGACTTGCTCGATGGTGGGTTCTCGTTCTGACATAGACATACGTATGCAGCCATGTTCATTCAGCTGTGGTTCGCTCGTACATGTGCTGCTGGACAGTGTACTCGATATAGACATGCTTAGCTTCCTACCATTATACCATACCTACACCTACTTAATGGTGCATACGTGGTGTTAGGGCCAATGTTTAGGGTGTACGTTTGCACATGCTAAGGGACTCAGCCCACGAAATCCTAAGGCATCCTTCACCTCTTGCTCTCCCCTTTCATGCCTCTACTTACCCTGCCCTTGCTCCCTCCCTGCCCTCGTTCCCTGATCCCATCCCCCCAGGTCTGTTCAGTAGGTGACTTTAGAGACGACTCAAAAACGTTCCCTGGTCCCATTCCCCCCAGGTCTGTTCAGTAGGTGACTTTAGAGACGACTCAAAAACGTTCCCTGGTCCCATTCCCCCCAGGTCTGTTCAGTAGGTGACTTTTGAGTCGACTCAAAAACGTTCCCTGGTCCCATTCCCCCCAGGTCTGTTCAACATGCTGGGCGACTCGGCGCACGAGATCCGAGTGCAGGCAGACAGCGCTCTGAGGGAGTTCCTGCATGAGATTCGCCACGCGCCTGTGAGTACAGGGAGATCCGGGTATCCCTGAGGTCCGGGTATCCGGATTCCGGAATATTATCCGGCGGGTCGTGTCTGGGTTACCCGGGCGGGTATTCGATACCCGTTACCCGAAACGTTACCAGACAGGGCGTGTAACGGGTACCTGTCCGGTCGGGTACTTAATACCCAAGGTCGGGTATTCCACCTAGACATGGGGGTAAGTCGAGCTGTGTTTTAGGCTTTGCGGCAAAACGGTTTGGGAGGAGATCAGTGCGGTGAAAGGAAGGGAGTTTGGTTGGAAATGTTGGTGTTTGTAGACGGGGAGGAGGTCAATGCCAGGGAGGAAGTTGGGTGGTCAAAATTCGAAACCTCAAACGCAATTCTCATTTGCAAGCCGCGCTTTCAGAAACTTTAGCTAGCCTAGCCCGTTTTTAGGAGGCCCACTAGTAGGTGGCGGGCAGTAATACCCGCTTTTCAGGGTAACTGGGCCGGGCATACCCGGACCTGCCAGGCGGGTATTGTATTACCCGCCCCTTAAGGCCAGGTCCGGGTAAGGGTCCTGGGCATATTACCCGACCAGGACCCGACCCGAAAATACCCGATCGGAGGTCGGGTATTGCTAAACCGGGTCAGGTCGGGTAATTACCCGGTTTTGCTCAACCCTAGGGGTCAGTTTGTATACTGCAATGGGGAATATATTGGAACACAGGGAGTCAGGGTGCAGGCCGACAGCCCTCTGAGGGAGTTCCTGCATGAGGTTCGCCACGCGCCTGTGAGTGGCGGGGAAACAGAGTGCGATGCGGATGTGGAGCAGTGCAGGGGATAATACCTTGTGCAGGGGCAGGGTGTGAGGACGCAGGCAGATAGCGCATTAAGTGGTTTTTTCCATTAGATACGGCACGCGCCGCGCTGTCAGTAGGAAGGAGCTTTGGGAAGGGGGCAAGGGGGAGGTGGGTGGGCTTAATTTTGAGGCGCCTCAAAAACAGACTCCTTTGGGAAGGGGGCAGGGGGGAGGTGGGTGGGCTTACAGGAGGGTGGGGATGCGGAGGGTCGGAGCAAAGAGAGGCAGGGTGTGAGTGGAGCATGCGGGCATGAGTCCTTCAGTTCTTCCCCTCCTTCAGGCAGACAGGCAGTTGCTTCTTTCGTCCCCTCGCTGACAGACAGTGGAGTGTGGGGGCGCTGGATGGGAATGCTAGTATCAAGAGGATAGAGGGCGTTGTTCCCTCCTTCCTGGGCTCCACCCACCCACCATTCCGTACTTTGATCCCTTGTTCCTCACCTTCCAATTTCCCACCCTTGCCGTCTCTATCTCCCCCCCCCTCACAGGCAGTGGAGTACGGGCGCATGATGGACATACTAGTGCAGGGAGCACGAGTGCAGGGAGCAGGGAGCAGGTGGAGTGGATTGGACTGCATGAATTGTTTCATTCTTCCAGGGCTCCCAACCACCCACCCTTGCCGTCTCTATTTTTCCTTCCCCCCCCCCCTTCCCACAGGCGGTGGAGTACGGGCGCATGATGGAGATACTGGTGCAGAGAGCGGGGTCCTCCGATGAGTTCACTCGCCTCACTGCCGTCACGTGGGTATGATGGCTCATGTTTAAGAGTTTCTGTTTAAGATTGAGGTTAATGGTGCAGAGAGCGGGGTCCTCCGATGAGTTCACCTGGCTCACTGCAGTCGCTTGGGTATGACACGCAGGGGTTTCGGGTTTCTGCTTCGGGTTTGGGGTCTGGAGGTTTATGGAGCAGGGAGCTTTCGCGGCTGTCGAATCGGTATGACGGCTCAGGGTTTGGTGAGGTTAGGTTTTGGGGTTTTAGGATGGTTCCAAGGGTTTTTTTTCTTCCTTTTATGACGCAGAGAGCCGGGTTTGCTGTTGAGCTTGAGTAGCTGAGAGGCGCTCAGATGGTGCTGTACCGTGTACTATGCCGCGTGTCCCACATGACATGTCTCATGCGTGCTTTACATGCGTGTCTCACAGTGTGCCGCGTATCAACGAGTTTTTAAAGCTGGGAGGAGCTCAGATGGTGTCGTACCATGCCCCATGTGTTCCACGTGATTCACGCATGTTTCACCACACATACATGCCACTTCCATGCCTTCACCACACATACATGCCACTTCCATGCCTTCACCACAGATCAACGAGTTTGTGAAGCTGGGTGGCGCTCAGATGATGCCATTCTATGCCGCTGTGGTGGGCGCCATTCTGCCCTGCATCGCCGACAGAGAGGAGAAGATCGCTGCGGTGAGGCTGAGGCTCCATGTTGGCAGCGTGTGCTTTAGTGAACACCACTTGGGTGCCATAGGTCTTTACGTGGCAGCAACTTTGAAAACGCTCAAGTAAAATGAGTAGAGAGCTTGCTTGAAAAACTCTTGTGAAAATTTGATGGTAACCGATTTCGGCTCGAGAGCCTTCTTCAGGCTGAGGCTCCATGCTGGCAGCGTGTGCTTTAACATCGCAGATAGACATGATCAAAACGCTAGAGTGCAAATAACCAGTGCGGTTTCGTAGTGGGTTTCAGAGTGGGTTTCAATGCAATATCGCGCGCGATTTTTTTTAAATCGCATATCGCATTTAAATCGCGTTTTTTAGCGCGATTAAAATGCGATTTAAATTAAATCGCGCGATATTAATTCATCGCATCGCGCGATGAAAAAAAAAAAAAAAAAAAAACATCGCCATCGCAAAAACGCGATTAAATGCGATGCGATGCGATTTTTTTTGCCCATGTCTAATCGCAGAGCCATTGTGCGACTCCATCACCGACTCCAAGGCTGGAATGCAAACGCTTCTCCATCGCACACTCATTCTGCTCGCAAGGTTGGCCTGCCCATGCTGCGCGGGTGAGAGGGCTTCGCAGGCGCCTTGAGATGATATTTCACTCTGTTTTCTTCTCCTCGTCTTTCCTCTCAGATTGCCCGCGACACAAATGAAGAGCAGCTGGCGAGGGTGAGGGAGCAGAGTGTGGCGGATGGCTTTGATGTGCCAGCAGTGGTGGAGATAGCACGGAGGTGGGTGGGGGGGAGGAGGGATCAAGAGATAGAGGGGAGGAGTGGGGGGGAGGAGGGCAATGAAACAAGCAGAGTGAATCAGAGATCAAACATTGGTTAGTGGTGTGACATACCAAACCTCACTTAGTGGTGGATTACTAGCTTGCTGTGTGATGCCGTGGATGTGCACTTGGATGGATCTTGCAGAAGTGACTTTTGAGTCGACTCAAGAGCCACCTCGTTACAATGTCACACAACACCCTCGTGGGTTACTAACTTGCTACATGATGCGGAGGATGTGAACTTGGATCTTGCAGTGTGTGTTTGGGACCTGGATCAGTTGATTCCATTCCACTTGCACTACTGCACGCTCTAAGTGTGCATCAACCCCTGTCACCTCACCACTGCCATACCGGCATCCCTGTGAACAGTCCATCCATCCAGCATTGCCGGTCCAACCATTTGCTCCCTCTGTACTCACTAATGCAAGAGATTGACTAGAATTCTAAAAAATCTCTCGCATTGCCTGTCCAACCGTTTACTCCCTCTGTACTCACTAATGCAGGGAGCTGAGGAGCAGCTGGGAGGCCACACGGCTAGAAGCTCTTGCGTGGATCGCCACCCTTCTGCACCGCTTCCCACACCAGGTGAGTCGATTTGATTCCCACACCAGGTGACGCCATTCTAACACCAAATAATCCCACGTGAGAACACCCCTGCAGCTCTGCTCTCCCCCATCCCACAGCTCTACTTCCGCCCTGCATTCTTCCCCTTATGCAACCTCGGTTTGTCGATGCGTTCTTCCCCTTCACATCATGGTCCTCCATGCGTGAGGAGTCTATTTTTGAGGCGCCTGCATTCTCCCACAGCTCAAAAATAGATTCCGCCCTGCATGCTTCCCCTTCACATCAGTGTCCTTTACGCCTTTGCGTCTTGTCTCGCCACACCATGCCCCTCTCACGCTCCCCGTCCCCCTTCTTGAGCTCATGGTCCATCCCTCCATTGGCCTCTATCAGTTCTTTTCCACCCATCCCGCTCCCCCCACGTCTCTTCGCCTGGGCCTTTTTTCTCCAAGCAGCTGCTTGACCTCATGGACGACCCCTCCACTGCCCTACTGGAGTCTCTGCTAGCGGCGCTGGCAGACGAGTCGGACCAGGTGGGCAGTCAGACCAGGTGGGCACGCCGACCAGGTGGGCACGCCGACCAGGTGGGCACGCCGACCAGGTGGGCAGTCGGACCAGGTGGGCAGTCGGACCAGGTGGGCACTCAGACCACGTGGGCACTCAGACCACGTGGGTTGGCATCATCATCATTGGTGGGCTAGATGGTACCCAGGCCTCAGTGTGAGTGCAGTGAGCATATGATTGGTTGATTACGAAATCTGACATGGAGACTTGATGTGTGGGTCGTTGTAGCAATGTCAGGTGCTGCTGGAAGGACTATTCAGTCCACTCCTGCTTCCGTGCTTTCCTCAAGAGTCCACTATTGAGTCGACTCAAGAGTTTCCGTGCTTTCCTCTTTCCTTTCTGACAAGCCCAGGTGGTGCTGGAGGCACTCTCAGTGCAGGCAACAGTGGCCAGCCACCCAAACCACTTCCACCGCCTTCTGCTTCTGCTGCTCCTGCGGTTCAACTCCGACCGTGCCCTCCTAGACAGGTATGAATTCGGTGGTATTGACCTGTGAGCCTCTCACTCCTCAACTTGCTGCTGCTTCTGCTGCTGCTGCTCTTGCGGTTCAACTCCAGCCGTGCCCTCCTAGACCCGTGTGACTTCAGTTCAGTGCATGCCCTGCTTGGTTAGGGTAATGTCAATTGAGCCGCCTCCTCCTTCATCTCGCTGCTACCACTTCTCCTACCACTGCACCTGCTGCTGCACCTGCTGCTGCACCTGCTGCTGCACCTGCTGCTGCACCTGCTGCTGCACCTGCTGCTGCACTGTCCTCTCCATACATCCTTATTATCGCCCGCCATCCCACCTTCGCTTCCCCAGTACACAGTAGAGGCAGCATCATCATCCGCGGTCCTGCGCCATGCTAGATGCTGACTGGGTCTACCCGGGCAAACAGAGCACACCATTCTCCAGAACGAGTCGGACTGTGGTCTCGCCGTCACCATGGTGACCACGCTCAGCCTCATCCTCTCCTTTCCCACACCCCACTCCTCCCCTTCCCCTTCCCCTTCCCACACTTCCCCTTCCCCTTCCCGACCCAAGCAGGAGAGGCAGCATCATCATCCGCCACCTGTGCGCCATGCTAGATGCGGACAAGGTGCTCAGGGAACTAGCTTTCATCCTCCAGAACGAGTCGGACTGCGACTTTGCCGCCACCATGGTGCCCACGCTCAGCCTCATCCTCCTCACCGCGCCCGAGCTCGCCCCCATCCGCGCCAAGCTCAAGCGCTCCTTCGCTCCGCCCCCCGCCATGCTTCACCCATCTCCTGCTGTGGGTCAGCCGCCCCCTGGCCTTGCTTCTGCTCCTGCTGCAGCTGCTTCTGCTGCTGCAGGGGGTCCTGGCTCCTCTTTCTCCCCCTCCCCCTCCTCCTCGTTCTCCCCTCCTGCGCTCGTAGGTGCTGGTGGTGGGGTTGGTGGGGGTGGTGGTGGAGGTGAGGTGGGCACTACTGCTGCTGGTAATCCAGCCACATCAGCAGCAGGAGCACCATCGGCAGGAGCAGCAGCACCGGGAGGCAGGGGGTTGTTCCTGGCGCTGTACCCAGCGTGGTGCCACTCGCCCATAGCGGCCGTGAGCCTGTGTCTGGTGGCGCAGGCGTACGAGCAAGCATGGGGCATCGTGGACGCCCTGGATGAAAGCGACCTCTCGCTCAGCCTCATGGTGCAGGTGGGCGATACAGTGAGGCCTCATGGTGCAGGTGGGCGATACAGTGAGGCCTCAGGAGAAGGCAGGTTTGCTTGCATGCAAACACGCACACGGGCGTACAAGCACACGGGCGTACAAGCACACGGGCGTACAAGCACATCGTAGAAAACCCCACGAGTATCACTTGCCTGTGGCCTTCTGTTGACGCAATTGCATTCTAAGATGTATTCACTGTGGTGCACTGCTGTGTGTGTGTGTGTGCATGTGCATGTCCATCTATAATTTTGCATGCGTGAGCGTGCATGTTCATGTATGCCTACGAATGTGCTTGTGCATGTATGCATGTGTGCATGTGCCTATGTGCAGGTGGACAAATTGGTTCTCCTGCTCGAAACGCCGATCTTTAGCAGGCTGAGATTGCAGGTCAGTGGCACGGTGAACAGCACTCGGCCATGATGAGAAGAGATGGCAGGTGGGCATTATAAGGAGTGTGTAGTAGGCATGAGCAATGAGGCGAGGATTTCCGAGCCTCGGAAATCCTCGCCTCGAAATTCCGGGGGTCGAGGTGGGATTTCTGGGAAAAATCCTCGCGAGGAATCCTCGCCCCGCCCCGCCGAGGATTCGAGGACTCGACAATTCCTCGGCACTTTAGGGGCGAGGATTTTTTCCTCGCGTCACTTTTGTGCGGTACAAACCGAATCTTGGTGACTTGGCTACTGAATCTTCATTACTTGTGAATCAGCCGAGCCCCTTGTTTTTGTATTAGGGTTAGCTAAGGGATAGCTGCCCCCATTTCGCCCAATGCTACCATTTAGAACAGCTTAAACGAAGACCTTTGAGTGGGGTATACTTAACCTGCCGCCGCGCGACTAGCATCTAGGGGGGGTCAGGAACGTAGTCGGAAAACCAGATCTGGTTTTCCGCAACCCCATCCAGAGTGTTTGATTGCAAAATTCGCAACCCCTACTGGCGAGTTGTTGATTGTGAATTTCGCGACCCCCTCTTGAGGGGTCACGTACGAATTTTGCAAGACCCTGCTGAAGGGTCAATTTCGAAATTCGCAGCCCACGGGTCGATAACGATTTTCGCAACCCTGTCTTGAGAGGGTCAAATTCGAAAACCTGAGGCAAGGGTGCCTATAACCCCTGGGGAGTAGAACGGGAAGAGCACTGTCGAAATAACAAAGGCAGAGTTCAGGGAATCCCCACCCCCACCCCCACTCACGTAAAGGAATCCTCGCCTCGGGTCGAGGGTTTTTTCCTCGAGGCGAGGATTCCAAGACATGGTTAAAATGTGATGCGATGCGATATCGCATCGCTGCGATATTCTGTTTCAAAAATTGAAATCGCATATCGCTTTTTAGGGTGCGATGTTACAAAATATCGCACCCATGAATGCGATATATCGCGCGATGCGATTTAAAGCGAGGGTCTCAAGAAGCAGAAAACCAAATCCAAAGGTTTTGGTTTCGGGGGGTCTCGAAAATTGCGAGGTGTGGTGAGGGGTGCTGGTTGGGCGCTGTTACTGTTTCGCCAATTTCGTCAACCCAAAACCAAACCTTTTGGATTTGGTTTCGCGCTTCTTGAGACCCTCGCTTTAATGTCGCATTGCATTTAGGGGTCGGAGGAGAAAAGCAGAACGACAAGGAAGGCTTTCCTAGGTGCGCAAGGAATTAAGTGAGTGAAGTTTAACGGGAGAATGGGATATCGTAGCCCCTCTCTGATGTAAAGCGTGTTAGAGGGGCAGGGGTTGGATTCCGTAGATGTGGAGGAATGTAGTGCGGTTGAAGTGGTGGAAATTGGTTGGACTTCCAACCAATTGACTTAGTGGGGGTCGAGATTTCAATCAACCCCCGAAATCCCTTTAACCGCACACCACCACATTCCATCCACCACCGCCCATGTCAAAATTTGAACCTCCAACCAACTCCCTTCCCTCAACCGCACTGCACTCCTTTTCAACTAGAATTTCCAACCCTTCCTCTCCAAGCTCCTCACAAACACCTCCCCGTCAATTACGCCAACCCCAAACAGCTGCGCGCATTTTCCGCACGCCATTACAACCAAACCCTAATTTTTGCTAAGTTCAGGGCCCACGCCCATGTTCCCCCCCCTTTCTGGTGCAATTCCGCGACGCGATATGCAGATGTATGGCGCGCGATATTTTAATATCGCTCATCGCGTTATATCGCGTTGAAAAATCCGCGATAACTGCGCGATATTGCAAAATTCGCGCGATATTATCGCATGGCATCGCTGCGATTTTTCACTTAAAAATAAAATAAAAATAGCAACCGCAAAATGCGATAAAATCCGATGCGATATACCCATGTCTAATTCCAATCCTCGCCCCTAAAACCCGGGGGTCGAGGAGGGATTTTTTAGCCAGGATTCCTCGACCCGCCTTGGCTGGGGCGCGAGGAGGAGATCCTCGGGTCAAGGAATCCTCGCCTCGCCCCGTGCTCATGCCTTGTGTGTAGGCATGTTGCATGCGTGTCGGCATGGTGCATGCGTGCAGGCATGGTGCATGGGTGCAGGCATGGTGCATGCATGCAGGCAAGGATAGTGCACAAAAGTTAAGTGCAAAATCAGACGAGATGGCAAGGTAGCTCTTGTTATTGAACTGTACAATAGTCATGAAGTGTACGATAGTCATGAAGTGTACGACTGTCATGAAGTGTACGATAATCATGAAGTGTACGATAGTCATGAAGTGTATAATTGTCATGTAGTGTACGATAGTCATGAAGTGTACGATAGTCATATGAAGTGTATGATAGTCATGAAGTGTACGATAGTTATGAAGTGTACGATAGTCATGAAGTCTAAAATAGTCATGAAGTGTACAATAGTCATGAAGTGTACAATAGTCATGAAGTGTACAATACCATATTCATGAGGTGTACGATATTCATGAAGTGTACGCGATAGTCATGAAGTGTACGATTGTCATGAAGTGTACGATAGTCATGAAGTGTACGATAGTCATGAAGTGTACGATAGTCATGAAGTGTGTGATAGTCATGAAGTGCACGATAGTCATGAAGTGTTCGATAGTCACGAAGTGTACGATATTCATGAAGTGTACGATAGTCATGAAGTGTACGATATTCATGAAGTGTACAATAGTCATGAAGTGTACAATAGTCATGAAGTGTACGATAGTCATGAAGTGTACAATAGTCATGAAGTGCACGATAGTCATGAAGTGCACGATAGTCATGAAGTGTACGATAGTCATGAAGTGTACGATAGTCATGATGTGTATGATATTCATGAACTGTACGATAGTCATGAAGTGAACGATCGTCATGAAGTGTATGATTGTCATGAAGTGTATGATAGTCCTAAAGTGTAGGAAAGTCACGAAGTGTACGATGGTCATGAATTGGACGATAGTCATGAAGTGTACAATAGTCATGAAGTGTATGATAGTCATGATGTGTACAATTGTCATGAAGTGTACAATAGTCATGAAGTGTACGATAGTCATGAAGTGTACGATAGTCATGAAGTGTACAATAGTCATGAAGTGTACGATAGTCATGAAGTGTACGATAGTCATGAAGTGCACGATAGTCATGAAGTGTACGATAGTCATGAAGTGCACGATATTCATGAAGTGCACGATAGTCATGAAGTGCACGATAGTCATGAAGTGTACGATATTCATGAAGTGCACGATAGTCATGAAGTGTACAATAGTCATGAAGTGTACGATATTCATGAAGTGTACGATAGTCATGAAGTGTGTGATAGTCATGAAGTGTACGATAGTCATGAAGTGTACGATAGTCATGAAGTGTACGATAGTCATGAAGTGTACAATTGTCATGAAGTGTATGATAGTCATGAAGTGTACGATAGTCATGAAGTGTACGATAGTCATGAAGTGTACAATAGTCATGAAGTGTACAATAGTCATGAAGTGTACGATACTCATCAAGTGTACGATAGTCATGAAGTGTGTGATAGTCATGAAGTGTACACGATAGTCATGAAGTATACACGATAGTCATGAAGTGTACAATAGTCATGAAGTGTACGATATTCATGAAGTGTACGATAGTCATGAAGTGTGTGATAGTCATGAAGTGTACCATAGTCATGAAGTGTACGATAGTCATGAAGTGTACGATACTCATCAAGTGTACGATACTCAGCAAGTGTACGATACTCATCAAGTGTACGATAGTCATGAAGTGTACGATAGTCATGAAGTGTGCGATAGTCATGAAGTGTACACGATAGTCATGAAGTGTACACGATAGTCATGAAGTGTACCATAGTCATGAAGTGCACGATAGTCATGAAGTGCACGATAGTCATGAAGTGTACGATAGTCATGAAGTGTACGATAGTCATGAAGTGTACGATATTCATGAAGTGTACGATAGTCATGAAGTGTGTGATAGTCATGAAGTGTACAATAGTCATGAAGTGTACGATAGTCATGAAGTTTACGATAGTCATGAAGTGTACGATAGTCATGAATTGGACGATAGTCATGAAGTGTACAATAGTTATGAAGTGTACGATAGTCATGAAGTGTAGGACAGTCATGAAGTGTACGATAGTCAGGAATTGGACGATAGTCATGAAGTGTACAATAGTTATGAAGTGTACGATAGTCATGAAGTGTACAATAGTCATGAAGTGTACGATAGTCATGAAGCGTAGCATAGTCATGAAGTGTACAATAGTCATGAAGTGTATGATAGTCGTGTAGTGTAGGTGATTCATGAAGTGTACGATAGTCATGAATTGGACGATAGTCATGAAGTGTACAAGAGTCATGAAGTGTACAATAGTCATGAAGTGTACGATTGTCATAATGTGTATGATAGTCGTAAAGTGTAGGATAGTCATGAAGTGTACGATAGTCATGAATTGGACGACATTCATGAAGTGTACAATAGTTATGAAGTGTACGATAGTCATGAAGTGTAGGATAGTCATGAAGTGTACGATAGTCATGAATTGGACGATAGTCATGAAGTGTACAATAGTTATGAAGTGAACGATAGTCATGAAGTGTTCAATAGTTATGAAGTGTATGATAGTCATGAAGTGTACAAGAGTCATGAAGTGTACGATAGTCATGAAGTGTACGATAGTCATGAAGTGTACGATACTCATCAAGTGTACAATACTCATCAAGTGTACGATAGTCATGAAGTGTACGATAGTCATGAAGTGTGCGATAGTCATGAAGTGTTCACGATAGTCACGAAGTGTACACGATAGTCATGAAGTGTACCATAGTCATGAAGTGCACGATAGTCATGAAGTGTACGATAGTCATGAAGTGTACGATAGTCATGAAGTGTACAATAGTCATGAAGTGTACGATAGTCATGAAGTGTGTGATAGTCATGAAGTGTACAATAGTTATGAAGTGTACGATAGTCATGAAGTGTGTGA